GCCGCCCACCTACCAGATGGTCAGACTTCTTTGTCAAGGTCATGAACGATCGGTTTGAGGCCCTCCATGTTCCCGGAGCGAAGAGATGCCATTGGGCTACACTAGCACGCGACAGGGACAAATGGAGACGTTACTGGCGCCCGCTCGAGCAAATCGACGACTAACGGGAAGTTAAGTGATTAAGTGAATTACTTGACTCAGGCTTCAGTTGCTGTAGTTCCTAATACCCCAAAGGGGAGGTCCTGCCGTGGGACTGGGATGGACACGGGGCGAGTGACAAAGCTACCCTGACATCGATATGGGACAGTCTAGAAAGCACAAATGCATGGTCTTGATGCAACCCGGTATGACTTAAGAGACAGGACACCCATGGGAAAGGACAAGCTTCACTGGCCTGAGGACTTAGTCTGGGATTTATGGTAAAAGCCTTGCTGACACTCAGAGCCCAGAGAACCAAGTGTCAAAAGCCTTGCTTGCTCTCAGCCCAGAGAGTTAAGTGTTGGGATCTTCGTCTCTTACTGCTTTTATCCGAACAACAGCAAGTATTGATGACTTATACAACTAGAGGAAAAGAGAAAAGCCCTGTAGATATACCTGGGAGACAGTGTCTCCTTGAGTTAATCTCCCCAAGAGAATTTCCTCTGCTAAATGTTATCTAGGTAAATGATCAATCACACCTATGTCCTTACCTCAACCCCACCTCAGACGTCCTATAAGTGTGCTAGTAGTTCTGCATTAAACAGGTCATTTTCACTGTCAGTCTGTGGTCCCGTCTCCCTGTCTCTGTCTCTCTATTGGGGAGGCCTGGAGAGGTGGGGAGGAGGTTCTGGATCACTAAGGCACTGAGCAGCAGCTGTGCTAGAAGCAGGAGCTGGTTAGAAACGCTGAGGTTTTGCCAAATGCCTTAGCAGGCCTCCCCCTCGTTTTACTTTGTGAACTCACAACAGTGAACTATAAAGATAATTATAATGAAATAACTCCTCACTACTGTGTTGCATACAAACCAACACATTCTATGGGGGGGGGGGGTCAGAGCAGATCTAGGCACATGCTTTGTTTGAAGGAGGCCTACCTTCAATCCCTGGCGTGGCTGAGGGTGGTCCCCAAAACAATATATCCCATGGTGCAAAATGTAGTATGCATGCTTCTCACCAGACCAACTGAGGCAGAATATCTGGGGGTCCCAGCTTTTAACTGCTTTTAACACTCCCTGCATGATCCCCGTATGCAGTCAACCTTGAGATATACTCACATAGAAAAAACTGAAAACTATTAACAAAGTCTATTGTTGGATGGATGATGAATTATCTAAAGGACAATGGGACTCAGAAATTCGGGGCTTGATCCTAAACTGTCACTTAACATGGTATGTGATCTAAATGGGGTAAGTCTACTTTCCTAAAGTCCGAGTGTTGTACTAGTTGTCTTCTAAGTTTTATTCCTGCCTCAAGACTTCATAATTTCCCTTGGCTAAGTAAAATCCAGCGTAGAAATGCTGGGACAAGTAAGAACATGACGGGGACTTTATAAAAGAAACTCCCTGCAGGATAAAGATAATCCTATCAGGAAGCTCCTTACTGGGGCACCCTTCTGCCCAGGAAAGGAAAGCATTTGTGAAATTTTGAAAATATCACTTTTAGAAGAGCTTCACACACCTCTGTGCCAGATGTGCAGAGCAGGACAGACTGGTCTTTAATCTCAATGGAGACACATAACACTTGTCTGATTCTCACTGTGGAAAAGACAATCCCACGTGAAAGAGAGAGTAGGAGGCCTTTCTTGAAGGAGCTGGTTAGAAAAAGCTGAGGCTTTAACAAATGCCTTAGCAGGTCTTCCATCTGCCCCCAAACTCCCAGGCTATCAGAGGAAGCCTACACATGAACCCTGACAAAGTTGCCAACTTGACTCCCCCACCTCATGTTTCCAAGAAACTTCAGTATTTCACTCCTTCATGTCCCTGGTGAACATATGTTGAACTTGTGTGCTGAGTTCTCACTCTGGAGCAATTTGGCTATTCCCCCCCCCCCCCGCCCCAACCACACTGTTCCGATGTTAACTTGACCCTAGCTCCAGTCACCTCTTCTCACAAAAACACACAAAGGATGGGGCTGGAGCGGATAGCACAGCGGGTAGGGCGTTTGCCTTGCATGCAGACAACCCGGGTTCGATTCCCAGCATCCCATACGATCCTCTGAGCACCGCCAGGAGTAATTCCTGAGTGCAGAACCAGGAGTAACCCCTGTGCACTGCCGGGTGTGACCCAAAACAAACATACAAACAAACAAACAAACAAAGAAATTAAAAATACACAAAGGTAGCCATGGTAGCAAGAAATCATAGAACAGTAAATTGTTGCTATTACTGTTGTTGTTATTATTGTTGGGTTTGGAGCCACACCTGGCGAAGTTCAGGGGTTACTCTTGCGTCTGCATTCAGGGATCACTCCTGGCAGGATCAGGGAATCATATGGAATTACAGCTAAAGTAGTGGCAGGGTCAGTAACACCGAAAGTCTTCCTGGAACCCTCACGTAAAACTCTAAATGACTAGTAACAACAAATACGGTGAGGATAGCTTCGAAGGGAAGGAAGAGAGCAACACCCAGAGTAGTGCTTCTCCCAGAGAACTCTCAGAGAACTCCCAGAGAACTCTCTGGTGGGGATAGGGAGCACCAGTGGTGAAGTAGACTTACTGCCAGAACCCCACAGTCATACCAGTGAAGCAGTATAGCACCCCACCACGCTTTGTGAGTAAAGAGAGTAGCGTGGAAGATTCAACCAGTACGAAATCACTCTATAACCTCTCAGATACGGACTTTAGAAGGAAAATGTTGAGGATGTTTAATGGGTGCAAATTAACAATGATACAGGTAGTCACTGTCGCTGTCCTCCCATTGTTCATCGATTTGCTCGAGCGGGCCCAGTAACGTCTCCAGCATGAGACTTGTTGTTACTGTGTTTGGCGTATCGAATATGCCACGGGGAGCTTGCCAAGCTTTGCCGTGTGGCGAGGTACTCTCAGTAGCTTGCCGGGCTCTCCGAGAGGGGTGGAAGAATGAAACTCGGCGGGCCATCTCGGCCGCATGCAAGGCAAACGCCCTACCGCTGTACTATCGCTCTAGCCCGCGGTAGTCAATAAAGCACAATAAAATTAGCGCATAAATGAGAAAATTAATCTCTATGGAGAATAACTATGCATAGTGGAGTAGGGGTGGGGATGGGGCCATGTCCTGAGCCAGAGGACGATAGAATGGGTTTCTGAGAAACTCATTAAATTTCCATATATGTATACATATACATATACATATATATACACCATATATAGGTCATATATAGAGGCCACGTATTTACAGACCATATTATATATATAGGCCATATATATACTATATATGTAGGACCTGGGAGGGAAGATGGGTATGAAAAATCCTTTCTCAGGTGGTTCAGTATTATGTATGAAACTCTATCAGTAACAGCATTGTAAAAATGCAAATATATATGTTTATATATTCTATATAATTGTATGTATAAACTTATGTTTACATCGGAGAGCCCGGCAAGCTACAGAGAGTATCTTGCCCGCACGGCAGAGCCTGGCAAGCTCCCCGTGACGTATTCGATATGCCAGACACAGTAACAACAAAGTCTCCAATGGAGACGTTACTGGGCCCACTCGAGCAAATCGATGAACAACGGGAGGGCCTTTACTTTACTTTACTTACACACCTATGTATGTATATATAATATATATATTTATATCTCCAGTTGAAGCAGATGATGGCAGGGAGGCAAATGCGGTTGGGGTAGGGGTGCGGATATTGGTGGAGGGAAATGCACACTGGCGAAAGCATCAGTGTTGTGAAATTGTATACCTGAAACCTAATCTAAAATAATTTTGTAATTTTATGGCGATTCAAGAAAAACGGAATCAAAATTTTTTTTTTAAAAAGACTCTTTTCGGGTGGGGGGTGGGGGTGGGGTTTTATTGGGGTTCTTCATGGTAAAAAATTCATTCATTCATTTCATTTCATCATCCTATTATTCGTCGATTGCCTCGAGCAGGCCCCAGTAACGTCTCCTTCATCCTAGCCCTGAGATTACATTCAAGGCTCTTTAGGAGAATGAGACCCATCATTGCTACTGGTATTTGGCATATTGGGTACGACACGGGGAGTTTGCCAGACTCTGCCCTGTGGGCAGGTACATTCGGTAGCCTGCCAGTTTGTCCAAAGTAGGAATGAGATAATAAGATGTCATAAAAAGATGTCCTGATAAGTTGTCCCGCGGCCGCACGGTTCCGGGAACCGGATTTCATAGTTTCTGAGTCTGAGTGGTAAAAAAATAAGTATTGGTAAAGGGAAATGTGATATTTGCATGACTGAGACCTAAACCTGAAAGCTTTGTAACTTTTCCCACAGTGATTCAATAAATAAAAAAAAAAAAAAGCCAAAAAAAATTATTGTCCAGCAAAAAAAAAAAAGAAAAAAAGACTCTTTTTTTTCTCGATTGCACGCCCTACATCATCAAGAAGTCTGCCCACGTGTGCGTGGACCCGAGCACAGACAACTCCTTGCACCAGGTCTCAGCCTGGAGCTCCCAAGCTCGGGATCCGCTGGGAGCACTTCGCAGGGCGGCTCCTCCGGGTGGGGGGGGTCACCCCACGCCGACAGGAGCGCGGAGGGAGCCCGAAGGCGACGCAGGCAGCGCCCCTGGGAGCCTTGGGCACCCCGACGCGCCACTGCCCTGCCCGGGCCGCCACCCACCCACCGGGGGGTGCAGCAGCGCCTCGGGGACCCGCTCCGGGGCCGGGCGGTTCCGGTCTCGCCCGGGGCCGGCCCCCGCCTCGCGCCCCGCGCATGCGCAGTCGCCCTGCGCGCTCGGGACTGCGCGCATGCTCCGTGCGGCGGCGGCGGCGGCGGCGGCGGCGCAGGAGGAGCAGCAGCAGCAAGAGGAGGAGGAGGAGGAGGAGGAGGAGGAGGGGGAGGAGGAAGTTTCCGCTCCGCGCTCCACCCCGGCAGCAGCTCCGCGGCCCAGCAGCGCTTCCCGGGGGCTCCGCGGTGCCCTCGGACCATGGGCTTGCCCAAGGCGCCGGAGGGCCAGGACCTCCCGGAGGTCAGTCCCCAAATCCCGGGACGCGGCGGGGTCCGCCGGGGGGGGGGGGGGGGGGGGGCGGAGCTGGGGGCTCGGGGGAGGGTGCTCGGGGCGCCCCGCCCCCTGGCCCAGGGGTGCGGGCCGAGGGGCGCCCCGGCCGGGTGGGCGCGGGCCGGGCAGGTGCCGGGCGGGGGGCGCCGGCCACGCGCGCCCCCGGGTCCCCGGGGGGCTTCCCGGCGCGGGCCCGGCCCGGCCCGGCTCCCCCACCCCCGCCGCCCCCTGCGGCCGCTTGACCCGGGCGGGACCCTCGGAGTCACGGGACGGACGCGCGCTCGGGCCGGCCGGGCGCGGAGGGGCCCGGGGCGGTGACCTTGCGGCGTCCGCAGCGGGGCCCTGGGGGTCGCGGCCGTCCGCCCCGGCCCCCCGGTGGTCCGGAGGGAAGCCCCGCCTCGCTTGCTTTCGCCGTGCCCACCCCCCAGCCGTGCCCCCCGACGGGGCAGCGGAGGAAGTTTGCAGCCCGTTGGTGTCCAGCGGGGCGGGGGTGGCCTCTCCCGGCGGCAGGGGACCTGCGTGGCCGCCGCTGGGCGCCCGGCGGAAACGTGGCTCCTTGCAGCCCCTTTCCTGCCAGGGGTCTTCGTTATTCCGGGTGATTTCCGTCTGGGGTCTCCACCGAGGGCGGGGTCTGCAGTCGGGGCTGTCTGACTTGCAGGGCATGAATGCGGGGCTGCGTGTCCCCTGGCTGCAGATGTGACCTGAGCCAGGGGCATTGCATCTGCCTTCGCCTCCAGTGGACGCTGTCCACCCCCGCCCCCCGCAGCGAGGCTAGCGTACTCGGTTTTTGAAAGTTCTTGGATCCCTGCAGCACTTCTGTGCTTCTGGTGAATGGGCCCTTCACTTTTACTGCTAGCAGCCTTGTGCCCAGTCTTGCTTCTGGACCTTTCCACCATCCAAGACCCTCAGCTCTTCCCACCCCCAAGTGCCCACTCACTGAGGTATCGGAGACAGTGGGCTTGAGACACATTTTGTTGTCATGAGTGTTACCGAACGTAGCCTGCCCACAGGGCAGAGTCTGGCAAACTCCCCGTGGCGTGCCCAATATGCCAAATACCAGTAACAGTGATGGGTCTCATTCTCCTAAAGAGGTAAAGGTAAAGGTAAAGGCCCTCCCGTTGATCGTCGATTTGCTCGAGCGGGCCCAGTAACGTCTCCATTGGAGACTTTGTTGTTACTGTGTCTGGCATATCGAATACTCTCGGTAGCTTGCCGGGCTCTCCGAGAGGGGCGGAGGAATCGAACTCGGGTCGGCCATGCTGACCACTTGTAAGGCGAACGCCCTACCCGCTGTGCTATCGCTCCTAAAGAGAATATGCCAAATACCAGTATGCCAGATCCCAATATGCCAAATGCCAGTAACAATGATGGGCCTCATTCTCCAAAAGAGCCTTGAATATAATCTCAGGGCTAGGATGAAGGAGACGTTGCTGGGGCCTGCTCGGGGCAATCGACGAATAACAGGATGATTTGATTGATTGATTGAAGTGTTACGGCAGTTTAGTTTAAGTGCAATGCCAGAATCTTGCTCTGGGTAAAAACCTTCGCAGTTGTTGTTTCGGTGGGGTCGGCAATGGTGAAGACTAGAATCTGTCCTGTGATCACTTATTTGGTTTGCTTTTATTTTATGTATTTACTTTTTCTTGCAACTTATGCTAGCATTCATCAGACTTTTATTTAGGTTTGAGGTTTTGGCTTGAGGGCCACGCCCAGTAGTGCTCAGGCTTTACTCCTGACTCTGTGCTCAGGGATTATTCTTGGTGGGGCCCTGGGGACCTCATGGGGTGCTGAGGCTCAAACCTAGAGCGGCCGCCTGCAGGGTCACCCCAGTCCTGCTCTGCTGCCCTCTCCAGTCCCAGATCCTTATGGGGGCCAGTTCTAGGATCATGAGGGCAGTAGAAGTGCTGGGGGCCGGGAGTCCACGTCCAGTACCTGCTGCCAGGGAAGCTGCTTAGGAGGTCATTGGTGCTGGGCATGGAACCAAGCATCTACACCAGCCAGGCACGTGCTCTGCCACTTGGGCTGTCTTTCCCACTCATCAAGGTTTTGTCTGGTTTTTTTTTTTCCTTCTTCCCTTGTCCAGTCTCCTTGTTCTGCCTTAAATCCCTCCAGTTTGTTCTCTCACAGTTTTCCCAGTGGGGAATACTTTCTGAAACTAAGTTATAGTCTTCTGTGTTCTGTTTGATCCTTCTCTGGCTGTTAGGAGGATGTGTCTGATTTGCCACTGTTCCAAGAGGGTCGTTTCTGGCAATTAGGAGACAGACGGGTGTATATAATTAAATTATTGTCACTCAGATCACAGAGTATGAGTATGGATAGTCTGTGTGATTAGCTCAAAAAACATTTGGGGGGAAGGTGGTACTGTGAATTGAACCCAGGGCCTTGCACATGCACGGCAGGTGTTTACCATGGAACCACTGTAGCACTGTCCCACTGTCCCACTGTCCTCCCATTTTTCATCGATTTGCTTGAGCGGGACCAGTAACGTCTCCATTGTGAGACCTGTTGTTACTGTTTTGGGCATATCGAAGACGTCACAGGTAGCTTGCCAGGCTTTGCCATGCGGGCCAGATACTCTCTGTAGCTTGCCAGGCTCTTCAAGAGGGGTGAGGGAATCGAACTCGGGTCAGCCGGGTTGGCCACTTGCAAGGCAAACGCCCTGCCGCTGTGCTATCGCTCCAGCCCATGGGCCCACATCTGGCATAATTTCATTTTGTTTTATTTTGTTTGGAGGCATAGTCCGCAGTTCTTGGGGGTACCATATTGGTGCTGGGGATTGAACCTGGGCTTCACATTTAAAACACGATTTCCAGACCTTGGTGCTATGTCCCTTGCCCCTAAATTAAATTTTTTTTAAAAGCCTTTTACTGCATATATGTGAAAGGTTAGCAGGTAACGAAATCTAATCCTGCTGTCTTACTCATACAGGCTGTAGTACAATTGAAAACTTGGTGAGCCTGGTTTAAGAGACCATTTCATTTTAAGAATTGGAAGTCGGACTCAGCCTGGTGACTTCAAGAGTGCGGTCCATTCTCATTCACCAGTAACCCTCTCCCCTTTTGTTTCACTGATAATCTGTAAAGTGAATTTGGAATATTATTAGAATTCTCCATTAAGCGTCTAATTGGAAGGACAGTTTGAACCATATCTAGCCATGCTTGGGACCTGCTTCCAGCTCTGTACTCCAGGAGGGTCACTCTCCGTGGTCTTCAGGGGACCATGTGGTGCTGGGGATCAGATTTGGGTCAGCCAGCTGTACGTCAGGCAGATTCCTTAACCCCTTGAATCCCAGACTTTACGCGTTAAGTTTCTTTTGCCAATATGTTTGTTCATAATTTATTTTGCAGAAGTTAACTTCTCTATTCTGGGGGGTCATTGTACAGAAGCATGGGCCATACATCTGTCATGGAGTCACTGGCAGGTGCCCCTGAGGTGCAGACTGAGGCAGAGCTGGACCTCCTGTATATATTGTCATCTTGGAGTGTCTCCATGATCAGCGGTACAAATGAAGGAGTTGTATTGTCCCCTTTTCTTGTTCTTTTTGTGAGCCATGCACTTTATTTTCCTAGAGTCTCTGCATTTGTGGATAATTCTCAGCCATCCCAGATCTTTTGTCACAGTCACGGTCACGGTCCTCCCGTTGATCATCGATTTGCTCGGGCGGGCCCAGTAACGTCTCCATTGAGACTTTGTTGTTACTGTGTTTGGCATATCGAATATGTCACGGGGAGCTGGCCAGGCTCTGCCGTGCGGGCGAGATACTCTCGGTAGCTTGCCGGGCTCTCCGAGAGGGGCGGAGGAATCGAACTCCGGTCACCCATGTTGGCTGCGTGCAAGGCAAACGCCCTACCGCTGTGCTGAATAAAATTGAAATGACAGGAATGACTCTTTCAGCTTTCCTTTGCCAGGGCCGGCATTGAATTGGTAGGCATTGAAGATGGTTTCTGAATAGTTAAAATATTGGGAGAAGCGAAGTGATGAGTACAGTGAAGAAATAGGAATGTGCAGGTCTGATGCAAGTTAATGTCTTCATTGTTCTGCAACAAGGTAAAGGAGGAAACTGAAGGGAAAGATTGTAGCCAGAGGTCTGGGTAACACCCAAAGAAATTTGGATTTATCTTATAATTAATGATAACATTTGATTTTTTTTTAAATGCACTAATGACACGACCAAAGAGAGGTGAGGTGAAAGCTGTGATTTAGAAAGTAGTGAACAAGCTAAATTAACAAGGAGGAAAGATTAAGAGGCAATTGCAGTGCCTTGACCTGAAGTGTAAATAAAAGAGGACACGTGGGAGATGTACCATCATATATTTGCAGACAATGATGGTTAGGGAGAAACTAAAGGTGTGTTTTAAGAACTTGAACCAGGGTACTTGGATGATGCTTTTTAGAGGGTGGGTAATTTTTAATTTTTATATATTAATTTTTGGTTTGGGTACCCCACCTGGCAGTGCTCAGGTGTTACTGCTGGCAGGCTCAGGGGACCATATGGGGTGACGAGAATCAAATCCTGGTCAGCCATGTGCAAGGCAAACACTCAACCCGCTATATTACTTCTCCATCCCCAGGAGAGGTGATTTTTTTTGCTTTTTTGTGTCACACCCGGTGATGCGCAGGGATTACTTCTGGCTCTGCACTCAGGAGTTACTCCTGGCGGTGCTCAGGGGACCATATGGGATGCTGGGAATCGAACCCGGGTTGGCCACGTGCAAGGCGAACACCCTACCCGCTGTGCTATCTCTCCAGCCCAAGGAGAAGTGATTTTTAAAGAAATTTTTTGCAGTAATGGAGGAAAAGATAGGTGAAGGTTCCTGGAAATAAATAGAGGAGAAAGTGCCAGAGCAATTTAAGTTGAAGATTAGACACACCAGAATAAGTTAGGATATAAATTACATTTTTTAAAAATACAATTCCTTTGTTTAAATTCCTTCAATGATTATTTGAATCGAATTTGTTATTTTTACAGCTACCCTGTCATTTGGCAGTTGTCTTCTTTTTAATATATATGGGTTGAAAGCCTTCTTTATATTTGCTTATATTAAGGGGAAGTTTGGAATCAGGGAAACAGCTCAGAGGGCTAGAATGCTCTGCTCTGGGGACTCAGAGTTTAGGCCCAAACATTGCCAGTAGCAACACACCTGGCTCCTAGAGGGAGTACAACCCGTGCACTGATGGTCTCTAAAACCAAAGAGTAGAGTGAGAACCGAGGGAAATTTTAAAAACCTTCTTTGGCCTTGCCCGCCTCTCAGTAACTTCTGGAACTAAGATAAATATGGTCACAGTCACGGTCCTCCCGTTGTTCCTCAATTTGCTTGAGCAGGCCCAGTAACATCTCCATCATGAGACTTGCTGTTACTGTATTTGGCATATCGAATACGTCACGGGGAGCTGGCCAGGCTCTGCCGTGCGGGCGAGATACTCTCGGGAGCTTGCCGGGCTCTCCGAGAGGGGTGGAGGAATCGAACTATGTTGGCTGCGTGCAAGGCAAACGCCCTACCGATGTGCTATCGCTCCAGCCCAAGATAAATATATAGTTCAGAAATGTTGACATGGGGCTGGAGAAATAGTACAGCAGCTAAGGTGCTTGCCTGGCATACCCCTGATCCGGGTTCAGTCCCCCACATCCCATCGGTTCCCCTGAGCACCACCAGGAGTGATTCCTGCATGCAGGGCCAGGAGTAACCCATGCGTATCAGCAGCTGTGACCCAACGCCCTCTTCCCCCGCAAAATAAAACGGGTCGGAAGGATGGTTCAGTGCGTGGGACATTTGCCTTACGCACACCCAAACTGGGCTCAATCCTTGGCACCCCATATGTTCCCTAAACCTTGCTGGGCGTGATCACTGAACATCAAGCTAGAAGTAAACACTGAGCACAGCCAAGAATGGCCCCCAAACTATAAATAAATAAAAGTGCTAAACAAATAAAAAACCCAAACCACCTTTTTCTGTATATAAGGGGTTTTCAGTCTAATCAAGAAGCCTACCAGTATGGGGGTATGGTGCCGGCAACAGGTCAGCCTGTACCTGTGGAGAGTGAGTGAGTGCATAAGCAATCTGATGGTGCCTTCGGGCTTCCTGACACCCCAAAATCACAGCTGTGCCTTTGGCTGGACCCCAATAACTTGGGACCAACTTTACCAAGAAGTTAAATGGCCAAATGTTAGGTATGTGGGAGCCATGCCCACAGACGACCTCCAGTTCAGCTATACGAGCTCATTTATTGGTCTTATCTCAGAGACCCATAGTCAAATCTCAGAAGAGATTAAAAAAAAATCACAGTTAATCTCAGACCCGCTCATGGCTGAACAGACTGGGGTAAATTAGAGGGAGGCGGGTTAGTCTGTGGCCCACCTAAGCAGAGCCCCTAGAAGCTGCTTGCTTCTGCAATCCAAAATCACCGCCATACCCCTGGCCTGAATCCACCGTCTCAATTAAAAAAATTTGAAAAAAGAAAGAATGTGGAGCTCATGCCCAATTCAATCAGCTTAATCAATGGCTCGAGTTCGATTCCTCCGCCCCTCTCAGAGAGCCCGGCAAGCTACCGAGAGTATTCGATATGCCAGACACAGTAACAACAAAGTCTCCAATGGAGACGTTACTGGGCCCGCTCGAGCAATCAATGGCTGAATAAATAGCAGTACTCCTACATTAAAAGAAAGGGGAAAAAAGCCTACCAAGTAAACCTTGCATTAGTGAACAGGAAGGTAGTATTCTGTAATATTCTGTTCTCTCCATTCCTTACCTCCCGGTAAGTAACCTGTGCTGCTCACGTGTGTCTCCCCCGCCACATCTGTGACAATTCATAGCCCATAGAAGATTAGGGACCCTGATCTTTTTGACTGTAGAGCACAGTATCCCCACCCCCCAGCCTATCTGCAGTGATCAAGCAGTGGCATTCATTTGCCTCAGCAGTAAGATAGTGCGACATCAGGGACTATTTCTTTTTTGAAGGTAGCACTGATTGGCCTAACTTTTACCTTTTGTTTCATTTTAGGTAGAGACAAGAGAGGATGAAGAACAAAGTGTGAAGTTAACTGAAATTTTGGAGCTTTTGGTGGCCGCTGGGTATTTCAGAGCCAGAATTAAAGGCTTGTCACCCTTTGACAAGGTAGGAGGAAATCTTTATAAATCGTGGGCAGACTGGTCACCCAGGAGAGGAAAGGAGATAATGTATTTTAACTTTCATCGTGACCATGTTCTGTTTCTCTCTAATTCAAATTCATTATGGAAGTGTGTGATTTTTCCTACGAAAAAGGAAATAGTCTGTCATTAGTTAAGCCTTGAATTCCTTTTCTCTGCATGAAGCTTTGGAGATGCAAAGACGCAAAAGAGATAGTTCTATCTTTCAAGGAACGTACAATTTGGGTGGTGAAATAAAGCTACCATAAGTTAAAAGATTTCTTTTAATGAGGAGCTCTAGAAAGTCAATGTGTGTACAGACAGTGGTCACTTGGTCTGTTGATGTCAAACTGTTTTTTTTGTTTTGTTTTGTTTTGTTTTGCTTTTTGGGTCGTACCCAGTGATGCACAGCGGCTACTCCTGACTTTGCACTCAGGAATTACTCCTGGCGGTACTCAGGGGACCATATGGGATGCTGGGAATTCAGTCTGGGTTGGCCACATGCAAGGCAAATGCCCTACCCTCTGTACCATTGCTCCAGCCCCTGATGTCAAATTCTGACTTTGGAGGAGAGAGAAGACCATATGACATAAATTCCTTGAATTCAGCAGGTCCTTCAACAATTATTATATACAAGACATAGTCATAATAGTTCTTGAAGGCCTTGTACTCAAACAACCCAACTTCTGTGGAGGAAAGACAAATGAGCACATGTGATCTAAATGGCACAGCATACTAAGCATTGCCTTTAACTGCACAAAAATGAAGAGCCTTCATCAGGCAGGGTAGGCCAAGAAGTCTTCCTGGTGTAGTAAAGTGCTGAGTGCACCAGTGGGCCTGGCCCAGGCTATGCATAAAAGGATCATTGTAGGCTGTATTACAAGACAGGTATCTAGGCCTCACCCAGTGATACTCCCGTTAGTTAGGTCTGGGCTTAGACCTAGAATCCCTACTTTTAACAGGCATCTCACTTGATTGTATAGAACAGATGGAGATAAGATCCACTCTTGTTTTGTTGTTGTTGGTGTTGTTGTTTTCCCTAAAATCAGGTCATGTCTGAAAAATGCAACTGTAGTCTCTTGCATCTCAGGGAAATCCTTGAGAGAAAAGTAGTCTAGTGTAAGATAACATTGGTTTGTCCCTTCCGCCTTGCCACAGGGAGCTTAGGTTTATTGGGTTACTCCCATCACAGTGCTCCTATTTCTCTGGATTTATTTGTAACCTCTTTCTTTGTGCTCTGTTGACTGACTAACAAAATATTGTTTTTCTCTTCTCCTTCAGTCCTTTGCATGGTTATTTCAGAGCAATGTCTTTTTTGTATGGGCACAAGAAGACAGTTAATGCTATGCTTTTGTAACTTAGTTGATTCTGAATGATATTTATCCCCTGGGCATTTGTTCTCTCAACTTAAGTCTCAGTTGCCCTTACTTCCTAGATCCCCAAAAGCAAGGTCCCGAAGAGGGACTGGATGGAGACCCAGGCCAAGCTGTGAGCTTTGTGCTACCCTGGCATCGAAATGGGCCTGGCCAAAGTGCCATAATGCTTAACTATAAGTTAAGAGCATGGTCATGGAGACAAATGCTGTCATGATCCAAAAAGTAATAACCTGATTTGGACCCTGCTAAGGTTAGGAAAGACTAATTTGGCCTGAGCACTGTAGACTGAATCTGTGGTAAGATGTCCCCAGGAGAGTCATCCTACAAGCTCAGTGTATCTCTTACTGTGTCCATACAAAATAACTAATATTCAGAAGTAGAAGTAAGATGTCGATTAAGTTATTGGACTAGGGAAGAACACCTTAAGTATTTTGCTGGTGAGCAAAGGAAGGGCTTTCTTATGTTGATTTTGCTGCCCCCGATACAGGGAGTGGGAGAGAGATGAGAGAGAGAAGGGCAGCAAGACGGAGCTCATAGAGACTAGCAAGGGGGTCAGAGGGAGAAGAATGCAGGGGAAGAATAAGGAGCAGGCTCATGGGGAAAGAGAGACCGGGCCGCGCGATGGAGTGTGGAAAGACAGGAGGAGGCAGGGAGGAGGGGCAGTGTGAGGCTAGAACGGGGAGCTTGGTGAGACTGGAACAGGCACGTGGGGAGAATGGAAAAATTGGAAACTGGTCATCAGCCAGCTTGGCCCTCGTGTCCTCCTTCATCTGCCCCGTGGCCCGAGTCCGCCAAGCCCTGGGCGGCAAGAGGAGGGCCGCGGGGGCTTTCTCCGGCCGCCTGGAGATCATACAGTCCAGGTGTTCTTATCTTCTATAGGTGTCACTGTATCACTGTCATCCCGTTGGTCATCGATTTCCTCGAGCAGGCACCAGTAAGGTCTCCATTCGTCTTAGCCCCGAGATTTTAGCAAGTGCCACATTGGAGGCTCCTTCAGGGTCAGGGGAATAGGAACCATCGTTGTTACTGAGTTTTGGCATATCGAATACGCCAGAGGAGCTTGCCAGACTCTGCCGTGTAGGCAGGATACGTTTAGTAGCCTGCCGGGTTCTCTGAGAGCGAGAATTAGACAACAATAGGTCTTCCGGGAGCTAGGTTTTATAGTCTCTGGATCTTGGCCGTTGATGGGATTACAGGGCGCCAGGGCAGTTGGTGGGTGTATCTGTCTGGCTACGGAAGATGGGGGATCTGGGTAGGGGGGCCCAGTCCCAGTCCGAGCAGCTTGGAAATCTCAGCCCCGGGTCTCTCACACCTGGGTTCCTCTGCCGGTTCCTTCATGCATGAGGCTCTTCTGAGTGTGTGGAGAGTGGCCTTGAGCATGACTGTGGCTGGGTTCCGGAGGTCTTCAGCTGACTGTATATCTTCTATAGGTATATGTATATTTTAAAAATATGGAAATAATGAGCTAGAATGTGGCAAACTTACTACTAGTTCAGTTCACAAAACTGCTAACTCTTCCTTGCCCGAAGCTGAGTTAATACTTAATTTTGGTTACGAATTAATGTCAACCCCCAACATTATGGGTTTATATCCTTTTCAGTAATAAAAGTTGGCCTTGGGGCTGGAGTGATAGCACAGCAGGTAGGGCATTTGCCTTGCACACGGCTGACCCGGGTTCAATTCCCAGCATCCCATATCGTTCCCTGAGCACCGCCAGGGGTGATTCTTGAATGCAGAGCCAGGAGTAATCCCTGTACATCACCAGGTGTGACCCCAAAAGTAAAAAAAAATAAATAAAATAAAAGTTGGTCTTTTGGTCACATGGACCACAGTTCTAGTACCAGATAACCAAGTCTACACTGAACAGTGTAGACACAAAACATTTTCACTACTGCAAAAAGTTTTACTCATAAGTGCTAATTTAGATGGCTTATAGTTAGTGAAGTCAGGGTACAGAGTCTCTAAAGATACCTAGTTTTTTATGTTTCTGTTTCTGTGAAAGCTATTTATGATTTGGGTTGGGCAGATGACTCAAAGGGCTAGAATGCATTTTTTTCTTTTGCACCTGGGTTCTGTTCCCCATGCTACGTGGTTCCCCAAGTGCTTCCAGGTGTGACCCCCAAAAACAAATGAAAACCTCACACTACTAGAAGTAGCATAAGGACATTGGTTGAAATTATTAGGCACTTTGCTGTTAATAAGTTACAGTAACTATGCACATCAATACCATAAACCGTTAACACTTTTATAACCATGCCACCTAAACAATAATAAAATATATGTTTTATTTTTTTTTCTCTTTTTTTGGGGTCACACCCGGCAATGCACAGGAGTTACTCCTGGTTCATGCACTCAGGAATTACTCCTAGCGGTGCTCGGGGGCCCATATGGGATGTTGGGAATCGAACCCAGGTTGGCTGCGTGCAAGGCAAATGCCCTAGCCGCTGTGCTATTGCTCCAGCCCCTGTTTTATTTTTTTATTTAGTTGGGGTTTTTTTGTTTGTTTGTTTGTTCTTTGGGTCACAACCGGTGATGCTGAGGGGTTACTCCTGGCTCTGCACTCAGGAATTACTCCTGGCAGTACTTGGGGGACCATATGGAAAGCTGGGAATCGAACCCGGGTCGGGCTGTGTGCAAGGCAAACAAACGCCCTACCAATTGTGCTATCGCTCCAGCCCTAAAATATTCGTTTTAAACACACAAAATCTTAAATATTTTTTTCTTCTCCCCAATCTAAAAGTGAAATAAATATTTGTATCTTTCAGGTAGTAGGAGGAATGACTTGGTGCATTACCACTTGCAACTTTGATGTGGATGTTGATTTGCTCTTTCAGGAAAATTCTACAATTGGCCAAAAAATGTAAGTTACAGGTTTTGCCATGGATGAGCAGAAAAATAGGAGAAGAGGCTTGCTTTTGAGTGCCTGTTACTGCCAATAAGCCTATTTGAATATTCATTACAACAGGTTTTATCATGCTTTTACAGGTTGTAAAACTGACACTGAAAGAAGTCGGTGTCACAGAGCTATCATCTAAGAATTATGTAATGATAAGTGTCCTCCTAATACTTTTCCTGGCCAAAGTGTGTCTCTTTCTAAACGTAGCAAATTCTGATAGGGGCGTATCTCCTCCCCTTTGCCTCTGTCCGCACCCCACTGTCTCTCTGCTCTCCTGTTTTTACCAAAAAGTACCCTCCCTGTCTTCCACAGCTCTGCAAAGGCCTTGGTGATTTCATTAGGTCATTTGGGATTCCAGTTGTGCCCAGTCTTGTCAGCAGCAGTTCTGTGTCCTTAGGCAAACGTCATGTCTCTTATTCATAAGAGAGATATTTGTGACCACAGATCTGTATGTGTCTAGGACTTCTATATGACTTCTTTTTCTCTTTGTGTGTGTGTGTGTGTGTGTGTGTGTGTGTGTGTGTGTGTGTGGTTTTTTTTTTTTTAACCCGTCCTCTCCCACCGAAAAACTCTCAAAGATCGAAGGCAGATCACACAAGAAGCAGTGATAGTGGAAAGGTAAAGTGAAGCACAAGGTGGGAAAGGAGAGAAACAAAAAGTAGAGCTGGGGATAAGATCACCGCACGTGTGATGGGCCACACAATGGCGAGGTGTGTCTCATGAAGATGACTCTTAACGTTTTCTGGCAGCCAGCGGTCAAGAGGAAGACGTGACAGATTGCCCAATTCATGGTTTCCACATATTAGAGGAAAACTTGGTCCCTTAGAATTACCGAAATTCTTAAGTGTGAAGGCCAGCTCTCAACTACTCATTAGGGCGCCCAATACTGTTACCACGGTCTTACTGTTCTCATTAGTATCCCTGACATCTGTCACTCTGTGACAATGGCAGTGTGGAGTGAGCTGTCCTTCACTGGCAGGCGGGCTGGTGGCATCCAGGTTTGGGCCTCTGCTCTCTGTTGGCTAGACAGTCCAGAGGTAGGCTTTTATTGATGATTTTGTTCTGTTCTGTTCCTTTCCTTTCTTTCCTTTTTTCCCCTCCCTCTCTCCCTCCCTCCCTCCCTCCTTCCCTTCCTCCCTGTTATTTAGGTGTTACATCTATGAAGTTTAAAATGAAACACCGCCAAAGGGAATAAAATATGCACCTGATATTGCTCCTCCTTCCAATTCTACAACTCTGATTTTATTCATTGCAAGAGTCACCTTTGTATAATTCTGTCTCAAGTCTGTGAGACTAGGAAATTACCTCACTTTTACTATTCACTACATCCCTTTCAAGGTCCTCCTTTCCCAATCTTTTAATATATGTTTTTTCTGTGGTCACTTCTCTAATTTTAATCTGCTTAAGCTGCTGTTGCTTGAACCAGTAACACAAGGTTGCTTCTGATTCCTAACACCGTAAGGCAGACATTTCAAGATTTCCATTTTGCCTTCTTCCTTTCCGTGTCCAGCTGCCATCATCACATTTCTATTATAATGTCCAGGGCATAGTACTTACAGTTTGTTCTATAATAGCGATTTAATTGTCCGTGCTTTATCGACAGACAGGTTCTAAAAGTAAATACACGCATAGTGTTTACAAAAGAAATTTGAAGTGTGATGGGGCCAGAGGAAAGGAAATATAATCTTCTGCACCATAATATTTGTTTAAAGAAGAATATGCAAAATACCACAGGCAGAAAGAATCTCTTTTTATTTGTTCACGGTGCAGATATTGATGAGCTGCTCCTGTGGATGCGCCATTGTTCTGAGTTCTTGAGGTACAGCAGTGAAAAATGCCCTGTTCTTAGGGAGCTGAACTGACAGTCTTTTGGTGCATACAGACTGTTAGCAATGAATTTAAGAAGTTAATTACAAAAGTATGATGTGTTGTAGAAAAAGAATTAAAGCGAGAAAGGGATTAGAGGAAGAATGAAGGGTTGAGACCTCTGTACTTTTAAATCAGTGTAGTTTTGAGAAGAACACACGAGAGCCAAGACAGAAGGAAGAGGGGTCCCTGCAACGGCTAAAACAGTGTGAAGACCAGGCAGAGACTCAGAGACTTGCCGGGGTGGAGTGAGGAGGAGAGCATAGGCGCTAAGTGTGCAGGAGGTCACTTGGAACCATGTAGGTTAGATTGCTGGGAGGGTGTGAGCAGAGGAGGAGGGTAGTCTGGACTGTGTCTTAGAAGGAACCCTCTCAGTGCTGAGTTGAGGGAGGGAGGGTGAAAGTAGGGAGATGGTTTCACTGTATTTTTCTAGTCCTGCCCTTTGATTGCGGCTTGGACATTGGTCTAGCAGAAATGGAATTCTGGGTCTACTCTGAAGGTAGACCCATGTCGATTTCCTGATGGATTGGATTTGGGGTGTTAAATTAGGGCAGGCGGGGATGCCAGATGAGGTCGTTAGCCCCAGCGGTTGGAGATGGTCTTTATGCATCATGGTCATACTAGAGTTGGCTTTGGAGCTCTGTAGGTGCCTCATCTGTGAATCTGTTCGCTTGAATTCTTGAGGAGACGCCTATCTAAAACATCCGTCTCTTCGCCTTTGTGCTGATATCTTATGCCTGTGGCTCCTCTTCCATCCTGAAATTTCTTTTAGGCCAGTCTCACCATGTCTTAGATTCTATAATTCTCTTCTAAATAACTTTTCAGTCTGATCGTGATTCTTAACACCCTTTTCCCTTGATGTCCTTGGGATTATAATGTATTGCCATCAAAGATAAATGCCGGGGACCAAATCAAGGTTGACTGCATGCAAGGCAAGCACCCCATCCACTGTACTTTCTCTCTGGCCCAGCGATCGTACTCAATAGATATTGAAATATAATGTTCTTGTGTACAGATTCTTAATTGTTTATCTTTATTTATAAAATCTTTATTTATAAAATCGTTGATGTCAAGAGAGGGGTGCGGCAGGGTGATACCATTTCACCAAAACTCTTCAGTGCCACCCTCGAGAACATCATGCGACGACTGGAATGGGAAGGAATGGGAGTGAAGATAGATGGTCGGCAACTACACCACCTCCGCTTTGCTGATGACATTGTTTTAATAACACCAAACATCAGCCAAGCGGCACAAATGCTGGCCGACTTTGACCGTGAGTGTGGAAAGGTAGGACTACAGCTGAATCTTACGAAGACAATGTTTATGAGAAACAGCCTTGTTCCTGACGCCCCATTCGCTCTCAATGGAACGACCATCTCCGAATGCAACAGCTATGTGTACCTAGGTCGAGAGGTCAACATGACAAATGACCTGGCACCCGAGCTGCGCAGGAGGAAGAGAGCGGCTTGGAACGCCTTCAAGAACGTCGAAGAAATAGCTAAGAGGACGAAGAACCTCCGGCTCCGGGCACATCTCTTTGATTCCACTGTTCTTCCTGCATTAACATATGCCTCAGAGACCTGGGCCCTACGCAAACAAGATGAGAACGCCATTCAGGTCTCCCAAAGAAGAATAGAAAGAGCTATGCTTGGAATATCACGTTTCACTCAAATGAGAGAACGAATCCGGAGTTCTGACATCCGTCGACGATCAAGGATCAGGGACGCTGTCTCATTTGCCAAGGTGTCTAAAATCAGATGGGCTGGTCACGTAATGAGATTTAAAGACGACCGTTGGACTAGAGCTGTTACTGATTGGATTCCACGGGATGTCAAGAGACCGCGTGGCCGCCCACCTACCAGATGGTCAGACTTCTTTGTCAAGGTCATGAACGATCGGTTTGAGGCCCTCCATGTTCCCGGAGCGAAAAGATGCCATTGGGCTACACTAGCACGCGACAGGGACAAATGGAGACGTTACTGGCGCCCGCTCGAGCAAATCGACGACTAACGGGAAGTTAAGTGATTAAGTGATTTATAAAATCTAAAAAATAGATTTTTAAGTATTTATTAAGTAGGGCTACAAGACTCATTTGAAAGCAAACATAACCTAAAATGACTTTAGTATTTATAGTCTTTATTGATCCTCCTTTCAGAGCTTATTTGGAAGAACAACATGACCTGAACTGACTAAAGATTATTTAAAGTCTTTATTGATTCCATCAATATGAGTCTTTCTTTGTTTTTCTATAGAAATTTTAGGATACTCCTATAAAGTAGAGGGTACTTCTATATTTCTGTGGGATTCTTCATAATACATAGTTTGTATCTCTTCGGTATACTACAGTACACACTTCTAAAAAGTTCTGAATTCGGAAACACATCTAACCTCTAAGGGCTTTGGTAAATGATCAAGGCTCTATTAAGTTCTCAGGGAGATGCTTGGTTTGTATCTTTAAAGTGCAGAGTCATGAACCATAATTGTGAGCAAAGCCGGGGATAGGGCCCACCACATTCATAACAGTATGTGAAGCAATTACGTCTTTATTGTATGTAAGGAAAATGTCACAGTCACTGGGTACCGAATTGTCCAAGAAGTCTTTTCAGTTTGGTTTTTGAATATATTGTGTTGAGGATGCTTCACCACAACACTACTGGTTAGGTGCAGTTCACACTAATGCTGCATTATATTTGTGATGCCTCTCTCTCTCTCTCTCTCTCTACATATATATATATATATATATATATATATATATATATATATATAAGATCTCTATCCTCACTGGTTTGGTGGGTGGCCAGACAGCACCTTCTGAGGAACGCGCTGTCTGGTGAGGAAATGATTATCTCTCAGGCTGCTCTCTGGATAGGCGCAGTTGGGACCTTGTTCTCCGTTTTGATCTTTTTAAATTTTTTTTTTGTAGGAGTACTGCTACTTATTCAGCCATTGATTAGCCGATTGATTTGGGCATTAACTCCACCTTAATTTTTTTATTTATTTTCTTTTTATATTTATTTATTGAATCACTGTGGGAAAAGTCACTAAGCTTTCCTCAGTCATACAATGATCAAACACCTTTCCCTTCACCAGTACTCATT